TATAGAATAGAGACTGAAAAAATTATACTGTACAAACTAGCAGAAACTAATCCTACATATAAATGTCCCCTTTCCTCAATCTGTTAATATTTTTCACAAGGACAATGATTCGGCAAATTTGCAAGATTAATAAATCATGCCTGACTTACATGCTACATACCCTATGTAATTATTGTTTATAAATAAACTGCCAAATCATGCAATTTAAGTTTTCTTAAATTAGCTTTGCACTAACTTGAGATGTTGGTAGATCGGTAAAAGATAAACTTTTGACAAAGACACCAAGGGACAAAGGACAGATGGGCATGGTTGCCCACCTTATTAGCGTTTTCAAAAATTAAAACATTTTCTTATTCTTCTCGCAAGAAGGAATATGCTGTAGCATGTCTTTGGGAGCATAATTTTACTTGAAGATTTAATAGGAACAGTTTGACTCAGGGTTCCTTTAAAAATTAAAAAAGAAAAAAAGAAAAGAAAACTAGAAGATTTAACAGGAACAGGATATGTATCCATTAAAATTAATATGGGTATATTATAACACTGAGTATGAAATGTGCATGAAATTTTTAACATAAAAGGATTTTTAAAAAACTTAACACTTGCTGTGGATCATAATGAATAACTTTATGCTATACTCCTTACAACACTCAGTTACATAATCATTGTATCTGCTGGCTGATTGAATATTTCTGGTAAAGTATGAGAAGTAAAATATCGTATGTTCAAAGAAATTAAAAAGGAGGAGATTGTCAGGGAGAGATTATTACTTTGAAAATAGGTAGTTTGTACGTATAACTAGATTACAAGTTTATAACACATGATCCTTTCGTTTATCTCCAATTTAGTGCTTATCAAGAAACGAGGAATCCTTTTTTCTAATATTTGTTGACCACATCTACCTTTATCTTATTCATACCCTAATCCTATTACTTCCCAGTCTTTAAGTGACTAAACTAAAGCATCCTTAATTTTCTGTTGTACTTTAACATCTGGATTATTTCAGCTGTCCCTTTGTGAGCACTTATATGTGACCTGAAGGTCTATATTAATAATTACTCATCATATTCTAAGAGCATAGAAGTAGCTTAGTATAATATATATACATGCAAAGAGCTATATAGCTATATATAGCTATATTTATTATTTATAAATAGTTATATAGCTCTATCTATGTGAATATGTATATATGCGTGTGTACATATATATATGTGTGTGTATACAGTCATCCCTTAGTATCCATGAGGGATTGGCTCCAGGACCCTGCATGGACAATAAAATCCACAGATGCTAAAGTCCCTTATATAAAATGGTGTAGTATTTGCATATAACCTACACACATCCTCCTATGTATTAATACTTTAAATCATCTCTAGATAACTTATACCTTACACAATGTAAATACTATGTAAATAGTTGTTATATGATATTTTTATTTGTATTATTTTTTATTGGTGTATTGTTCTTTATTGTTTTTTTTCCTCCAATATTTCTGATCTGTGGTTGGTTGAATCCACACAAGGAACCCATGGATACAGAAGGTCAAGATATGTATGGGATATAATACAGCATAGTATGGTATGTTATAGTACAGCAATGTAATTGTGTAGTATTGTTACTTTTCTAAAAGTATCTGGTAATACTTTCTCATATCACAAAGGAAAACTTATAGCCAATCTCTAAAAATTTGGTTTGAACACATATTATAGAAGACATTGTATTAAATAACACATATTAAAGTTGAAACATGTTAAAATCTTCAGCAATTCCTCGAGTGAATATATTATTAGCAGCTAAGATTTATCACAATGGTAATACTCAATTTTAGTAGGTGATTTACTTTAAACATTTCTAATAACTCAAAAGGCTTCAATTAGTGACATGTATTAAGTCAGACTAAGGTAACGTGCTTTCTTTGGAAACCAAACAATAAGTCTATTTCTAGCTAAAGGGAAGTTAGAAATAAAATAATCTTACCAACTCCACACTACCCTCCTTGGGCTGGACATCAAGGTTGGAAGGATATAATTTACATTCTTATTAGCAAGTGATAAAGTGAGCTCAGGTTTCTCTTATAGTAAGCAACCCATGTTATCTAGGTATTGTTCAGGCACAGGGTTTCTTGACTGACATTTTGGGTTGAATAATTCTTTGTTGGGGAGTCGGGGGAGGGATGCTGTCCTATGCACTGTAGGATGTTTAACAGCATTCCTAGCCTCTACTTGCTAGGTGCCAATAGCACCCCTCCACTTGTGATAACCAAAAATGTCCCCAGACATTGCCAGATGTCCCCTGGCAAGGAGAGAGGGAGTAAAACTGCTACAGCATAATCAGGTAAGGGTAACTGGTTTTTAAAAAATTAGCATTCACATTTATTATTAAGAAATACTGGCCCCCACAAAATAAGGACAAATGAAAATAAACAAATGGATAAAGCAATCGTTTAAACTATGAACTTTTACTATGAGATACTAGATAAAGTTTGCATTAACATTTGTATTAATCCAGAAAAGAAATTTTTAGAATTCAAAATTAGAAGAGGTTACCTGGTTGACTGCATTTGTCTTGTAGTTTCTGGATCTTCAAACATCTTCACAATTGGTTCTGTTTCTGCCTGAAGCTGTTTCAGTTGTGCAACAACTGTGGTTCTTTTTTCTCTCAAAGCTAATTCAAAATGTAGAAGAGTATATAATGTTAAGGAATGTTAAACTGTACTGCTCACTGTGAGAATGTCTGGAAAATTTTCAATTTACTTGAACTACACATATATTTATTGACTCCCAATATATTCACATGCCAAGAACCACCAACTCAGTAACTTCCCCAGATCCATAATTTCTTCTAAACTGCAAAGACACATAAAAGAAGAGGGAATACTCTTTCTACTCTTAAGGGACATTGGAGAATAAACAACCTGGGGTGAGGGTGGGGATACAAAAGAGAGAGAGTAGGAAAGTATCTGAAGAAGGGAAAACTTCATCTTGTATATTTATTTCCATTTCAGTATCTGTTCAATGTTTTATCATGTGGTGTTTCATAAAAATAAAAGCACTGGACAACCCCTCCCCAAAGAAACAACTATACAACTATCATTTAAGTCTTCATTTCAGAGACTTCATTCCAAGTGTTTTTATATTTGTTCCCATTTAGTTCTCTTAGGTGAATATTATCCCAGAGTTTCTGAACAAAGGCTCAGAGGGGTTTACATGTTATTACTACAGGTTATCAACTAGGTTGAATGGAATTTAAATCCAGTAAATAATCTCTTTTAACTATAAATCCAGCTCTATAACATATCAATGCTTTCTTGAGAAAAGAGTTTACTTTTTACTTTTTCATCACAAATTCGAATTTAAAGAAGAGCCGCCGTTATTGCAGGAAACTATAAATCAAAAAGGTGATCCTGTTTAATGCAATCATTTCCATGCTATATATTAGAAAGTATATTCTAGGATAGCATTTCGCAAACACAGAAGGGGGGATCTATGATCAAACTCTAAGAAATGTCAATTTGAACAGAGTAAACTGTATTTCTTTACTGCCAGAGTTCTTGGAAGCTTTGAAAATGGTATATGCATAAAAGAAATGATATAGTAGTATTTCCCAAACTTATGGGACCACTTTTTTTTAACATCTATTACCACAGAAAACAAGGGTTTAGAAAACACTGTATCACAATAGTTCTCCAACTTGAATCATAAGCATGACTTTGATAATACATACTATGAACTGAAGGTATTTGACAACGATGCTTTAAAGTATAAATAGTTTCACTTCTTTCACAGAGAGAAAATAATATCCTTTAGAATACATGTAACATTTATATTACCTTTCACCCAAAGAACTTTAAAATCACTCAAATTAAGCCTTTTGGTTAAAGCTCTTTAATAAATCACAAAACTTTAATAAACACATCCTCAGTTCACAAGACAAACCTCAGTTCTAATGACAAAACTTACCATGAGGAATATCATCAGAATAAAGGTTTTTGTATACATCCATAGCAAAGTCTACCATGTTGGTATCACTAAGAAGATCCAACTTCCCTTGTAATAATTCTTTTTCATTATATATCTGCAAGAGAAAATTACTTTCTAATGAATATATTTAAGTTCCCCAAATAAACTGAGTAAAACTAAGATTAGTTTACCTGGAAACATATTTCATGAAATACTTTTTAATAAAATATTATAAACTATTATTTTTTCTAAAATATTACAAACTATTAATTCCCCCTCTTGTAACAAAATGGCAAGTATATATAAAGCAACCAACCTACAGACATAAAAAATATTTTACTTACCTAAACATTTAAAAATGAAGGCAATTATATACTATAAAGCCATTCCCACCTACTTCCGGTTTACACTGTCTTATTTTTCATGTGTCCCTATAACCCATCTCTTACCCTTTCTAAACAAGGCTGTATATAAATAAACAAACAAATCACACCATCTTTACTACAAAGCACATATAGCTGTCTCCTCTCCATATCCGGGTAATTAGGAATAGACTCAAATTTTTTACGTTTTTAGTATTTCTCACATCCATATGCCACCCAACTCTCCTTAATGTGGCCTCTCCTTTACCCCCACATGTTTTTCTCTCATTAAATAGTTAAAATCCTTTATAAGGCTTCCTTATCCACATCTTTCAAACAAAACCAGTACCCATTTTTAAGTCACCCATGTTGTAACAGGTTTTTGCTTTGCAAAGAGTTCAAGACACATAATTTAACCCGCAGTACCGGGACCAAATAGATACAAACACAAACTCACATAAACATGAAGTGTATTGAGCAACCCATGAGAATTCTATACAGCAATATTCAGGGAGAGAGATGCTTCAGCAAAAGACAAGATTTTTATACTGAATTTAATTTTGCAAGGAAAGAAAAACCCAGAAAGATGTCACAATATTTCACTGTTCATGAGAAGAAAAGATGAAGGTGGTCAAATGGTATAGTCATGAAAGCAAAACTGAACCTTCCAAACTACATACAGAACTCCTGTAAGATAGTAAAAGACAATCCAGTTGAAATGGCTAAAAGAATAGGCACTTCATAAGAGGATAATCAAATGGCTGATAAATACATGAAAAGGTTCCCAACTTCATTAATCATACAGAAAACGCTTATTAAAGCCACAATAAAAACTAAAAAGACTGACTGACAATACCAGTGTTGGCGTGGATGTAGAGTAACTGGAAGACTCGTACTCTGATGGCAGGAGTACAACCACTTTGGAAAACAGTTTTTATCTCCTGAAGCCAAACACTTTTTGACTCATCAATTTTGCTCCTGAGTACTCAGAAGAACTGAGTGCATACATTCAATGTACCTTTCCAAAAATGTTCACAGCAGCACTATTTGTGATAACCAAGTCTATCAATCAATGTTAAATTGAATAAAGAAATTGTAGTATACTCATATAATGGATTGCCATACAGTACTGAAAAACTACTGCTATCCTAAAAACTTGGATGACTCTCACAATGTTGAGTGAAAGAAGTCATACAAAGCAGTACATGGTGGTGAATGTTTAAGTCCATTTACATGAAAATAAAAAACAGGCAAAATGAATCAGACTAGAGAGCTTACTTTTGGGAGGTGTGAGCAACAACTGAGGGATCAGAAGGAAGGTTTATTAGGATGTTGTAATGTTTTAGTAACTGAACCAGATTTTATCTCACTCCCCAAAACCCCCACTCCCTTTTGTGGGAGTCAGAAAAATTTGCTCACTGTTAACTTTGAAAAAAAGGTCACTGACCAGTATATTTATATTGGTGTACTTTTATGAATCAGTGTTACACCTGATAAAAATCTTATACTTGAAAAATCTTAACTTCCTGTCAGTTTGTCCTATAGAAACCCAATCTTTAATGAAAACATTATTTTCCTAGCATGCCACCTCTCCTCAGCACCCCACTAACAGCTTTTAATTTGCCTTGTCCCTCCCACAGTAGATTCAAGAGCTTAGCTCCTCTGCCATCAGACCTTAGTGGCCTGTTCTTCATTCTATACCTGCCTCTCAATTCAACCTCTCAATTCTGCCTCATAGGCAAAAAGGGCAGAATGCAAAAGCTTTAGACTTTGTGAAGCAAAAATTGAGGATACTACGTGACAAGAGAAAAACAAATTTCCACAATTTTTAAAAAACTTTTGAAATAAAAAGATAATACTAATGGAGTAAAATTTTTTGTAATACAGGTCTACTAATGACAATTGAATTCTTTTTGGGGAGGAAATATTTCACTCAATTGTGCTATAAAGTTAATGTTCTATAATTACAAATGTTCATCTGTTAAAAACTATTCTTAGCTCACAAACCATAAAAAAACAGGCTGTTTTCGTTCTCAGGCTTTGGTTTGTTGATCCCAGGTCTATCATCCTCTTAAAAACAGCTTATACTTTTTAATAGATTAAGAATCTTCTTTTGCCATCTCTTCCTCTCCTGTCATCCTTAAAAAATACACTATATTGATGATTCTTTAAAAGTTCATGCCTTAAAATTCCTTTATCCCACAAATTATAACTTTCATCCAGTATTTTATCTCTAAGAATTCCAACTTAAATTTACCACCCCCTCCACCATTATCACTAAAATGCTTCGTTATTCTCATTAGACCTTCTGCCCTTTCCAATTTTTAAACACTCCATTTGGTGTCACTTTCTCCCTTAGTTTGGATACCATCTTTAGCTATTTCAAAGATGTTCTCTTTAGCTCTGTCGTTGATTCCTTTGGTCTATTTTCTCCAACCACATACAATTCAATGTTAATCTCTAGCTCTGGAAAAAAGTCATCTATTTTCTAGGTGCTGGCTAAGAACAACTAGAAAATGTCACAAAACTAGGCAATGTTATTCAATCACATTTCTGCTTTTCCCTGATCAGCAATCCTTTCCATTAATCTCTAAATGACACTTCTCTACAAGCCCACCCCCAAGCATTTCTATACCACTCCAATAACCTTTCACTGCTCCCCTCACTCTGAGAATGATCATCATTATTAGCTCTATAATGTATGATTTCCAATCTCATTTGGGCCCTCCACTCTTATGGAGCCTTGTACTTGTCTTTGATCAGTTTTCACCATTTCCAGTTCTTACCTCACTCTCGGAAACCCTCACTGCCTCTTCCTCCCCTTACAGGATGGCCTAGTCTCCCTACAGAAAACATTTACGAGTACTCACTCTGTCCCAGGAGAGGTTAACTGCTTTATATACATTATTTCATGTAATTTTTCTAACAACCCCATGAGATCAGTGGTAGTGTCAACATTTAATTCCTAAGAAAAGGTTTAGTTAAGAGGTTAAAGGAATCTGATCTCAAGTGCACAGAGGTATTAAATGACAGAGCCAGGAGCCCAATCCAGGTTCAAATGCAGAGCCCAGGGTCCTGAATGCTATACTATCTGGCCTTCCACTTCACATAAGAATACCACTTCACATAAGAATAAAGTACAGTGAGACACAAATATGTATTCAATCATTCATTAAATCATAAAAAGCCTTGTGTCAGACTCTGTTTTATGTACTAAGAACACAGCAGAAAAAAAAACAAAGTTCCTGCTCTCATGGAGCTTATATTCTGATACACCACAAATATATTAAATTGCTATTCTTTTATTGCAATACAGTACTTGCCTCTTATCCACAGGCAAAACATTCCAAGACCCCAGGGGATGCCTGAAACCCCAGGGAGTACCAAACTCTATATACACTGTTTTTTTCCTATACATACATACTTACATAAATTTTAATTTATACATTAGGCACAGTAAGAGATTAACAACAATAATAGAAAAATTAAGTAAAATAAAGGTTACATGAACACAAGCACTTTGATACCAAGACAGTAGATCTGATAACCCAGACACTAATGGGCAGGCAGTATACACAGTGGGAAGCATACAGAGTGCACAAAGGGATGATTCACAACTGATGGAGCGGGAAGACAAGAGATTTCATCCTACTACTCATAACAGTGAATTGCTTATTTCTGGAATTTTCCATTTAGTATTTTCAGACAGCGATTGACCACAAGTAACTGAAAGTTTGGAAATCAAGACCATGGATATTGGGGCCGGGCATGGTGGCTCACGCCTGTAATCCAGCCTGAGCAAGAGTGAGACCCCGTCTCTACTAAAATTAGAAAGAAATTAATTGGACAACTAAAAAATACACAGAAAAAATTAGCCGGGCATGGTGGCGCATGCCTGTAGTCCCAGCTACTCGGGAGGCTGAGGCAGGAGATCGCTTGAACCCAGGAGTTTGAGGTTGCTGTGAGCTAGGCTAACACCACAGCACTCACTCTAGGCAGGGCAACACAGTGAGACTCTGTCTCAAAAAAAAAAAAACAAACCATGGATAAGGGGGACTGCTATACCCTCATGTATCATAAGCACTGAACCTATTCTAACCATCTAGCCTTCAAGACTCAAAGCCTTTCCCACTCAAACTCTGTTTTGCTCACTGAAGATAACAGAATCTCCTCAATTTCGATAATACTCAATATCTCTCTCAAATTTATTTCTTTTTGCCCTCTATCAAAGACATTCTACTCTAAAGGACAGGTAAGATTTTTAATGCTGAGATGAATGGGTTTTATCTTGGATTTCTCACAATTCCATGACCCTACACAGATGACCCTCCAGCAACAGGGTTTGAACTGCTGGGCTCCACTTACACAGATTTTCAGTAAAAGTTATACTGAGTGTGCCTGCCTCCCTTTCCACTTCCTCTATCTGTTACCCTTCAGACAGCAGACCAACCCCTCCTCTTCCTCCTCCTCAATGAAGATGACCAGGATGAAGAACTTTATTATAAGCCACTTTCACTTAATGAATAGTAAATATATTTTCTCTTCCTTACAATTCTCTTAATAACTTTCTTTTCCCTAGTTTAGTTTATTGTAAGAATACAGTATATAGCACATATAAAATGTGTGTGTTAGTCAACAGTAGGCTATAAGTAAAGTTTTGGGGGAGTCAAATGTTATATGCAGATTTTTGCCTGTATGGGGATTGGTGCCCATAACCCCCCCCAGTTGTTCAAGAGTCCAACTGGACTTAGTAATTGCTAAATAAATACTCCAGCATCTGTCTTACTCTTGGTGCATTACAGCCATCTTACCAACATTCTCTCCAAGGAGACAGATATTAGGTGATTATTTTCCACTGATTCTCAACTGCAGTTCATAGTTTTGTTCTTGCCCTATGAAAGACTAATTAACACTTACATATTCTTCCCTTCTGTCTGCCTTGAAAAATCAAAGTGTAAAGAATACAAAAATATTAACTTCAGAAGCATTTCTAACAAGAAGCTGGTAAACGATTTCAAAATATGGTACTTTTCTTTTTCCTTAATCTTTAGTGAATTATCCTCACTTCTCCAGAAAAGGAAACAAGGCATATTGGAACATTTTATTTAAGCTCTAAAATATAGGTGTAAAAAAAAAAAAAAAGGCAAAAAAATATATGTTTTGAAATAGAAGTTTTATATTGTGAGACATTCTTGGACATTTATTGAAAATGAACTTTGCTGTTCCCTAACATGAACAAGTTTAGAGTTCTCAGGTAGACTTGTCATCTGCTTCCAGAAACAGAACTCATTTATTTTTCCGGCCAAAATTCTAATTCCTTCATCATAGCAATATTACTTTGCTGTAATTATTAAAATACATCAATTTCCCAATAAACTCAAGGTATAACTAAGCTCAGTATTTCTTTAAGCCCAATAAAACTTCTAGAACTGAGAGACATGCTTTAAAATGAAGTTCCAGAACTTCATATTTACTCACGGTATCTTGAGTAAACAACTGAACGTTAATGAGCAATTCAAATCACAAGTCTGTACATCTACACAATGGAAAACAAATTTTGAGTTAAAGATTGTGGGATTCTTTTTGGAGGGTCCCCGCCCCCATCTGACGAAATAATGCTACTGTTCTAGGAACTGGCTACTCATCAAAGGCAAGAAAAACTCAACGCAAAGAATTCACAATTTCAGGGATTTTAAAGTGGTAGATATTTCTTGTAATTGTAAGAAAATCAGTCCAAACGACCCGGCATGCAAAAACCCATAACCAAGCCCTCCGTTCCCGCAGTTCCCACAAGAAAAATCAAAAGCTCTAACATCACTCAAAGCTGCTTTTTAGAAGCCGGCCTGAAGAGAAGCTCTAGCGTTACTCCAGCGAAGCCAGGGAATCAACTTCCGAGAGGAACTGACGCGAGCAGCACTCGGGTTCTGGCATCTCAGTGAGTGAAGCAGAGACGTCTTTCTCCCCTGATTTCATACCGTCACTTCACTCTTCCTCACCGCCAAATTCTGCGGTATTACCAACTGGGACCACGCTAAACTACCAGTAGGTTTTTACTGTCTGATCAGGAACCATACTTGCGACCGTCTCGCACATGTGCCAGGCCTACCGCTACAGCCGCCGCGTTCCGGCCTTCCCCAACACCTCCCCCGCGCCCACGCCTTCCTCGCGCTCAAAGACCCCCTCACCTCCTTTACAGACAGAAACTCGAGGAGCGGAAAGACCAGATGCCGATCCAAAAAGTGCGCGATGCGAGTAGTCAAGTCGTACTCCGCCATCTTGCCAAAGAAAAAGAAAGTCTGTGCTGACTAAAACTTTATTGATACCGCCAACAAACAGACAGACCTCATACCGCGCATGTGCAGTGATTAAACAGGCCTAGGGAAAGGGGCGGGGTTCAGCCCGGGGCGCGGTGAGAATACCGGCGCATGCGCGCGGGTCCTCCCTCCCTCCCTCTGGGCGACTCTGGGTTGGGGCGTGAGCTACAGGCGCAGTTTCTTCGGTTTGTAAGTTTGTCGGTATCGTGTTTATACTGTTGGCCTACGATCTACCAATCAGTGGCCTGTAATCCATTCCATTAATAAATATTGAAAGCTCAGAATTGATTGCTAACCCAGTGTCCACTGCGTTGCGATGCACCGGAAGACAAGATAAGGAGGCCCTGCTTAGGTGGAATACCTGAGCTTTCGTTTGGCATACAATAATCGTTTTGTAAGCATTTGTTAAATTAAAGTGAGGATGAGTTTCTAGACAGAAAACAAGTGAAAAGATTTCAGATTCTACTAACAGCCATAATTTGGTGGGGTTAGTTGTGTTGGACCTATTTAATTAGGCAAGAGAAAACAGATGGGAATTAGGATGATTAGAGAAAGTTCAGATGGGAATTAAGGTGGTTAGAGAAAACTATGATAGGGTAACAATTTAGCTGAGAATTGTAAGAGAAAAAGGTGACTAAAATTGGAGCCAGGGTAGAGACATGTCTGTTGGAAGGCGCAGCAAAGACAAGGGCCATGAGACAGGAAAAGACTTGGTGTGTTTCAAAAACTGAATGTCCTGTGTGACTGGAAAGTGAAGTTAAAGAGGTTGAGAAGGGCCAGGTCATGACGAAATGTGGTAGATATTTCTTGTAATTGTAAGAAAATCAGTCCAAACGACCCGGCATGCAAAAAGTAAGAAATGTGGATTTTTTTTCTTAAGTGCTCTGAATGCTCCTTTGCTAGTTCTCTTGTTTTGGTCTTTTCATTTTGGAGTTCCCCAGTGGCCTTGGATCTAGACCAATACCCTAAATGGTAACAATTAGGCAATGTACACATTGACAACTCCCAAATTACAGCTGCAGTACTGACTGTTTGTTAGTCTCAGACTCATGCATACCCACATTTCAACATAAGCTTGTCCCAAACCAAACCCACACGTAGCTCACCAAGACCTGCTGCATCTGCGTTCTTCACCTCAGTGAATGGCAAATCCACCTTGTACGGTTGCTCAGACCCAAAACCTCAGAATCATCCTTGACTTTTCTCTTTATCTTACACTCTACATCAAATCTATCAACAAACCCTTTGGCACTAACTTTTAAGGCTCATTCAGATGCAATCAGTTCACACTACCTCCAAAGTTACATCCCTAGTCTAAACCACCATCATGTCTCGTTTTGATTTTTGGAGTAGCCTTTTCACTCATCACCTTGCTTCCCCTCTTTCCCTCCTGTGCTTTTATTCTTCATGTAGCAGCGAGAGGGACCTTTTTGTTTTTCTCCAAGACAGGGTCTCACTCTATCACCCAAGCTAGAATGCAGTGGTGAAATCATAGCTCACTGCAACCTCAAATTCCTGGGCTGAAGTGATTCTCCTGCCGCTGCCTCCCTAGTAGCTGGGACTACAGGCATGTGCCACCACACCTGGTTAATTTTTCTATTTTTTGTAGAGAAGGGGCCTCACTATTTTGCTCAGGCTGGTCTTGAACTCCTGGCCTCAAGAAATCCTCCTGCCTAGGCCTCCCAAAGTGCTAGGATTATAGGCTTGAGCCACCACACCCTGCTCAGAGTGAGTTTTTTAAAAGTCAAATTATGCTTAAAACCCTCCAAGCCTTGCTATTTCTTTCAGAGTCAAAGACATAGGCATTATAATGGCCTAAAAAGCCCTGGATTATCTGTACCCATTACCTCTCTGACCTCATCTCCTAAATCTCCCCCTCTTGCTCACTTGACCCCAGCCATACAGATTTCCTTTCTATTCCTCAGATACTCCCACCGTGTTCCCATCTTGGCCTCTTGTATTTGCTTTTCCCTCTACCGAGAATGTTCTTAACCCAGTTATCTCCATGGCTCTTTCCCTCTTTCCTTCATGTTTTGCTCAAATGTCATCTGCTCAATGAGACCTTCCCTGATCAGTCTATTTAAAAATGTAAGTCATCTGCCTACGAGATTTCTCATCTCCCTTTCCTGCTTTACGTTTAAATCATGTTTTACTTATTTGTTTATTGTCCGTCTCCCTTGACTATCATATTGTTCCGCAAGACCAGGGAGGTTTTGTCTACTTTTTTATAACTGCTTCTCTAGAGTGTAAACAATGCCTAGCATTATAGTTGCTACTCAATAAATATGTTGGAGTAAGTAAATGAATGAAAGAAGGAAGGTAGGCTTTTACTTTGCAGAGTGATATAAAGATTTTCAAATAATTTAAACTTATTCTGGCTATTGTGTGGTAATAGATCGTGAAGCAGCAGGAGTGAAAGCAGCTGCATCAGTCTGATGTTCTTGAGGACTGGGTGAGGGCTAATGGTAGTTTGGACAAGCATATTAATAGAAGTAGAGGAGACTCAAGATGTACTTTGGTGGTAGGACTGACAAGACTTGCTCCTGGATTGGATGTGATGGATAAAGAAATGTAAAAATCAGGGTGGGGTGGAAAAGGGAAAAAAGAGTAAACATCAAAATAGTTTCAGAAATACTACTCAGCAGTAAAAAAGGAACTGGTTATACACACAACAACCTGGATGAATTTCTAGGGAATTATGGTAAATGAAAAAAGTTAATTCCCAAAAGTTACACATTAAATGATTTATATGTGTATACACACACACACACACACACATACATAAAATATTCTTAAAATGACAAAATTATAAAAATGGAGAATGGATTAGTGGTTGCCAGGGGCTAAGGAGGTGTGGGGGTGGGAGGGAAGTGAGAGTAACTATACAAGGCCACAGCAAGGATTCTTGTGGTAATGGAACGTTCAGGATCTTGACTATGTCATTATCCTGGTTGTGCTATTACACTACAGTTTATGTTTTGTTTTCAACAGCTTTATTCACATACCATACAATCCACCCATTTAAAGTGCATAGTTCAGTGGGGTTTTTTATAAGTATATTCACAGATATGTGCAACCATCAGCACAGACAATTATAGAACATTTTCATCACTTCAAAAAGAAGCTTGTACCCTTTAGTTATCATTCCCCTATCCTGCCATTCTCCCTGCTCCAGTGCTAAGCAACCACTTTCCGTCTGTATAGATTTCCCTATTCAGGATGCTTATATGAATGGAATCATATAATATGTGGTCTTTTGTGTCTTTTTTGCCCTTTGCATAATGATTTCAAGGTTCATCCAAATTGTAGCAATACTTCATTACCTTTTATGGACGAATACTATTCCATTGTATCAATATACCACGTATTTACACATTCATCTGTTAATGGGCATTTGTGTAGTTTCTACCTTTTGGCTATTATGAACAATGCTGCTGTGAGCATTGTGTACAAGTGTTTGTAGGGACATACGTTTTCAGTTTTCTTGGCTATGGATGTGGGAGTGGAATTGTGGGGTTAGATGGCAACTCTATGTTTAATCACTTGGGGAACTGCCAGATGGTACTGTAGTTTTGCAGGATGTTATCATTGGGAGAAACTGGGTAGAGAGCATATGGGATCTCCCTGTATTATTTCTTAAAACTGCATGTGAATCTACTATCTCAAAATTTAAAAGTTTACTTTAAAAATAATGAATCCTAGACTTTGGGCCTAAGAAACAGGGTACCTTCTGGTGACCAGTAAGTAGGGGGAGAATGGCAAAGGAACATGTTTACATGCTTAAACCTGTATGGCCTCTAACAGATGAGAAATGACAGTTGTAATTTAAAGTTTCCTGGAAGTCTGGGAACTAAAGTTGTGATCAAATATAGACAGGAAAAGAAGAAGTTTTTAAAGAGATAAATAGTGAGAACCCAGGCTCCCAGCAGAAATAAGCTCGGGCGTAGGAAGGAAGGAAGCAGGTAGCAGTATGGAAACTTGACAAAAAGGAACAGAGAGCATTCCTGAGAAGCAGAGAAAAATAAGATGCAATTGTATTTGACAAACATTTTGAACTTTTACCATATGCAAGGTACTAAGCTAGGTGTTACTTGGAATATATAATCAATAACACCTAGTCCCTGGCCAAGGAGCTTCAGTCTAATAAGAGACAATTACTCATTCATTCAATGTAAATTAAATGTTTACAACACTGCTAAGCACTGTTCTAGGTCCTGGGAATACAGCAGTAAAGAAAAGAAACAACATTCTCTAAAGAAGCTTATAATTTACTTGGTAAGTGGGCTGCAGTAAAAAAAAAAAAAAAAAGAAAGAAAAGAAAAGAAAAGAAGCTTATACTACAGGGGAAGAAGACAGCTAAAAACATATTAACAAATATATGCTTTGCTAGGTGGTGACAGGTCCTGTGAAGAAAAGTAACTCAAGGGAAATGTTAGAGAATGATGGGGAAAAGGTTGCTTATTTATATAAAGCAGTTAGAGATGTTCTATGATAGGCAGACTTGGAAAAGAAGCCTAAAGGATGTGAGAGAGCCTGTGACTATCTCGAGGAGAAACATTCCAGGTGAAGGAACATTAAGCATAAAGACACTGAAGCAGAAGTGTGCTAGGGATGCTAGAGCTGGCTAAATCAGAGTAAGTGTTGTGGAAAATGAGTGCAGAGGAACAATGGTGGGCCCGATGACATCATGCTCTGTAGGCCCCAGGAAGGACTTTGGTTGTATTCTGAATGAGATGGAAGCTTTTGCAAGGTTTTGAGCAGAGAAGTTACATAATCAGAGTTATGCTCTTAAAAGACCACTTTGAAGGTTAGGGATGCTTGAGCAAGCATATGCATAGATCAGTTAAGACACTATTGAAATAAATCTGGCAAGAGGTGATGGTGGCTTAGATCAAACTGGCAGCAGTGAAAGTGTGTGCATGTAGTAAAATTCTGAGTATATTTTGAATGCAGAGCTAGCAAAATTTGCTAATGGAT